CACGTGCAGGAGCCCGATTCGGGCTCCTGTTGGTCACCCACCCACCCACCCACCAAGGGAAACAGTCTGAAGTCATCTGGTGTGGGCTGGTGCCCCTCGTGCCCCCCTGGGCTGAACGGTGAGGAGAACAGGGCTTTGCGCAGAATTGATCATCCCGGGCTAGGCATCTGACTTTCAGTGAGACCCGGCCCCGAATCCATGACCGTACAGCTGGGGGGGGTCTGGCAAAAGAGTTCAGGCTAAAAATTGGCACATGCGGTTGCATTAGCAATTCATTTATGTGAGTATGTTTGATCATCTTCATGCCTGCCTTAATTGTGTATTTCATTCGGCTGCCAACAGCACCTGCCAGCACAGAGCACACCGAGTAAATGACTGCCCTTCATATGAGGGACGGCAGGTCCTAAGATCGATGTCCCCTCCTCACTTCCTCTGTCTCAGCATCTCCTTTTACAGCATTTATGCCATAGCAAGGTGTAGACAATTCAAAGAAGCCTCCAGATACACCTCATCTACTGCAGTGTCATTGCCGGCAGCTGGAGGCTGTTGTGCTGAACTCCCTCCCATGCACAGGTCCTGCACAACATCCCCGCATCATTAATGTCACCCTCACCGAGGGGTGTAATTGCTGCCTAGGACTTTTGGTGGCTTTCTGCCCAAGGATTCATTTCATTCTTGATGTATTATAAATGATTATAATATAGTAACTGTTAAAAAAACCCAAAACAACCAAAGGTAAGTATGCTGGAGAAGGTTTTGCTAACATGCTGGCCGGCCGTCACAGATTTAAAACTGTAGAAAGCACTGACAGCCATCTTATGTGATTACAAGATTGTTGTCATGGAAGTCACCTTGAATAACAGTACCTCATTCAGATGTGCTGAGGGCAAAACCAGAGGGAGGCTGTTGTCTTAATTTTTCTAGAGACATTTAAATTAGGCATTGTAGTCAGATTGTCAGTCATGTTACCCGGCTGCGGAGGCTTTGGGACTGCAGTGCTGATAGGATTGCTCTTATTAACTGATTTACAGCTGGCATTGGAAAGGGGAAAAGGACCCTTCAGCTTCTCCTGTAAGACTCAATGCAAAGTGCCGTGGCTAGGAGGCTTTGGACATCCAGGTACTTCTTGATGTTACCATCTCCTGCTCCGCTCCTGACCTGCGGTGTTCTGGTGGAAGTCCTCCTAACCAGGCAATAAAACACTGGTCGCATAGCGGTTTAGTTTGGAGGGGAAAGCAATGAACTACCTGGGGAAGGACTGCTAGCCTGCAGGAGGGAGGATGAAGGGAGATGCTTCTCCTTTCCACTGCTGGGCAGGCAGTTCCTATAGATTCTCTCTGTGTCCACTCCCTGGGCAAATGCCCGTTGGGAAGTTGCATTAAAATAGTGTGGGATACCTTCCTGTCAGAGGTGTGGTTGCTCGGTTTTGCATGGTGTATATCATTATGGGAGCTGCAGAAGAAAAGCAAGACTCCTCAACAGGGGTGGACAGGGGGGAGCTTGCTGCAGGTACTGAGTGATTTCCACTCACTGAAGATCAGGTACAGGAGTTTTGTTTCCAAATTCAATCCTTAGGCTGAAAGTAGAGGAGAGAGAACAGAGGGAAGCCACGATAACAATCTTCAAAGCCAGAAGCAGTTGCTGCAGAGATGGAACAAGACACTCCGCATGCCCGTGGGGGCTCAGGGGAGAAGTCATGGTCTTTAGATAGCAGCACGGGAGCCCTGGGTGAGGTCCCTGGGCCAGTGGCCAACAGCCGGGGCAGCTGCACACTGCGACAGACCGTCTGTGAAGACTGAGGAGGTTTTGTAAGGCAAGCGATTATGGGGGATAGACTCAGCCTAGCTAGCCTGGCTTGGAAACAGGAGGTGAAGAGGTCCCTCCAGGTCTGTCCAGCCATCCTACCTCTCTGCCAGCCCCAAGGTAGCTTCGCTGCTGAGGAGGGGAGCCAGTAAAGGGAGACAGAGGGAATCGCATCTTTATCTGATGGCATGCAACTTATTTTCATTCTTTTCTAGCTAGACTATAAGGAAGAAAGAAGTGCGAAGGACAGAAAAACAAGATGTTGGTGCTGTCTAATGACACAGCCCTGAATTCACTCCTCTCCAAGCCGCTTCAAGACTACCTGGAGCAGATGAATAGCTCCGCACCTTCCCAGGTCAGAAGTGCCAGCAGCAACCTAGAAATCGTCTACGTGCTGCTGCTGATCGGCCTCTTTGGCTTCTTCACAGTGGGGGTCATGCTGACCAACATCCGTGCCAGGAGGCTGGAGGACTCCCGCGACCCCTACAACACCTACATCGCCACAGACATTTGGCACAAGAAGGACAGGCAGTACTTTCAAGCCAAGCTCATAGAAAATTACAAGTTGTGCTGCGTCTTTGAAAACCAACTGGCTGTGGAGCAGCCAAGCACGGAGATTCCCGAGGCAAAGTCTTCCTAGCAAAATGGGAGAAAGGATTGCACTTTGCACAGGGACAACCCGGCCGATACCTGGTATGAACCAGGCTAGCTGCAGAGCCACAGGCACTGGCCTCGGTCAGGCTGAATAACCATGAACTGAAGGTGAAGCTGATGGGTCTGCGATGGTCCCGGTGCTGCAAAAGTGCCCAGCCACCAGTACCTTGTTGCAATCACTGCAAGGTCGAGGATGGGGACACACACCGAGGGAGTATCATGGACTCATCAGCTTCACCTAGTGAAAACAGCAAATGTTGGCGTTGCCAGTGTGAACGGCCGCAGTAGTCCATGTAATTAAAACCAAACTGGATCAAACGCAAGCTAGAGGTGTTAACTGCCAAGTATGGCTTAGGCAACCGTTTCCAAGTAAGACCTGTTTCTTCCAAGAAAAAGTAGCTGAAGTATTTCATTTGCATTTTTGTCTAGCATAGAATAATCGTGTTATAAACTGTACAATTTTGTGGATTACCTCTTTCTTTCAGAATCATGCACCTCTTTGAGATAAAATTTTAGAAAAATATTCCCAGTTTTTTCTGAAAACCATTTCTGTGGAAAAATGCAGACTTTGGAGGGAAAATTTTTAGTGACTGCCCCTAAATCCTAGCAGGTGGCCCAGACTAATCTTGCTGGTTACTTTTGATTTTCCTTCTCATGGATGAGGGTTGATCCTGGCAGCAATATCCACCCTGGCACAAAGATTCAGCAGCCCACGGGGTCTATGCCATGCAAGTGTGTAACGTTTCGAGAGTTTCAATCACATGTAATTATTGCACAAGACCTAAGTGCTAGCCCTTGGTTGGAAAGTGAATTTCCACTCTGCAAAGAGCAGGTCCACAAAGTGTCTGATATTTAATCACTGACACAGCTTATGTCCATGCTTAACCTAAAGCCCATGAGCGGTTCCTCCAGCTCCCAAGAGCAGCATCCCTCAGTATAGCTGTTTATCTATTCAAGTATCCAACACAAGGTCCATGCCAGCAAGCTTATCCTGCCCTTGCCCTCCTTTACTCCCTCTCCTTCAGCAAGCCATGTTTGCCAAGCCACGGGGGAACGGTGGCAGCCGAACTCAGCTTCTGCGGCAGGAACTATCCTATGTCTCTGTTTAAAAGGACGAGA